CTGTCAGTTCCCTTGTAACATGTTGGAATAATGTAAGAGTGAGCAAGTATCCTGGCGACTGGCGTGTTGATGATTGTAACACGCACACAAATATTGCCTGTATATCGCTTTTGACTCTTTTCGTAGATTTTGCTGATTCATCCAAATGTGTCCAAATCTTTGTGTTATTGTCAACGCAAAACACTTCTCCCACCATCTTAGAGGAGGCACCAGCAAGTGATGGAGTCAGTTACATAAAATGAATTCAACATAAACATCTTAAACATGTGCATGTATATATATACAGTATAATACGCATGAGAAGTATTTATAACACTTCACTGACCAATCTGTCTTAAGTTCCTTCAAAACTCTCTATCCCGTGATAAGAAGATGTTGAGGTGAGGGGTTGCACTCTTGACAAGTAGCTCTCATTTGCGACCCTGACCCTTCGTGTGAAATCCAATTTCATATCTGTGCCGGGACACAGACTGCTGCTGGTACAGGCGAGCACAGATGGTGCTGTGAGCTGACGAAGAGTCTCAGGCTCATCCTTAAACACAAACATGTCTTTATGCTCGGCCTCAGGCATGACACTGGTGTGAAATGCTGCAGAGACAGGGAGGAAGCATCTGGTAACAAGAATTCACTTCACTAATATAGAATGAGTTAACAAAATAAGGATTATTCGATTGAGATAAAACATACATTGTACATTATATGTGGTTACATTTAGTGTTTGTTTGTATAATTACATGAATAATATTACTGTCCCGGCAATTAGTCAATTAATCAGTTAGTTGTTTCACAGATAATTAATAATTTCTCAGTTTTAGGGGAAAACGTAGCAGAAGATTGATCGGGTCGGGATTCACAACAACAGGAACATTCAGGCGAGGAGTGGCATCTGGGTAGAGCAGGCAGGAGGCGGAGCATGACGTAGGAAATCTGATTTACGCCAAAAGCTCTGGAGTCTTGTTGCCTTTCCAAGTTGACGTCTTTGTCAGCATCTGCTATACGTCTTTTTCATCCTGAGATATCATTTCATTCTTTTTCTTTTCAGTTTTCTTGTTGCCTGTTAGAAATGTCATCAACACACCCACTCATTCACTGTGAACTTTCTTGACATTTTCCTGCTGTACTCTCATATGGGCTGTGGTGGAAATCAGAAAATGAAGAGCAAACAACCGAGTTGTTTTTGTAAGTTTATTAAGAAGAAGCTTTTGCGAAAGGATTGACCCAGAACTCCTCAAAGCTCACTGTGTTGATAAAGATGTCGATACGAGTCATTATTACGGACTTATAATGAGAGAAATGACCTTGGATGAAGCAGGTGGTTTCGCTACACGACATAGGGAGGGAAGGGACATGAGATAAGAGCTGACTGGAATGAACAATTTGTACCAGAAGTATTTAAGATGAACTGAAAGAGAGAGGTTATGTGTGGGTGAATTTCCACAACAGGGCTCACTTGGACATTTTACTAAGGGTCTGGCAGAAAATGTCCAGCACAACTAACCTGGACCTTTGCATTTTCACAAAACAAAATATATTTATGGATTATACAGAAAAGATACTGTCTATAGTCCAGTAGATAGAAGTGATGTGAAGAACAGACACATTTCAAGGAGTTGAGGTTAAATTTCCCAAAGGTTTTAACTTTTGACATTCTTCCATTAACGTAATTGTCCCTGTGGGCCGAGAACAGAGCCCTGAAGGACAGAGGAACCCCTCTCACTGTGACCTCTCCTCCTCTTTCGTTCTCTCTTAAGCTAAGCTCCTTTTTTTTTCTAAACCTTCAGAGTCCAGTCTCAAAGTTGTGTTATCAAAGGCTGGGGCTCTTAACAGACCCTCAGAGTAGGTGGAGAACGACAGACACAGCGGACTGTGAAACCAGAGCCCTTCTTTATCAGAATTATGCATGAGCTCAGAGAATAATACAGGTCCTTTATAGTCTACAGTCTTCTAGACCTCTAACTGTCATTAACGCACTATGGGAGAGAGGGATTTTCAGAAAAATTGGGTTAGAATGAAAGAGAGGACACATGGAAATGGTGTTGATGTAAAGTCCCGCCTCATCTCCTGTAATCTGTCTTCAGCCTCTGTGCTCTAATCACCGGTATCTATGAAAGTCATCGGCCCATTTGTGACCTTGTTATTTTCCAGAAACCCTCAGTGTGGGCAAATCTGCTTGTTACTCCAATTTTATTTTTAATTCATTTTTCCAAGAAGGAAGGATTAAGGGCAAGGATCATCAATTTGGTCTATTCTTTAGCTGAGCCTGTTATCCCTGGCTGTCATCTCCTGTGAAAAGTCACTTTTCATCCTCTTTGGCAAACTGACAATTGGTTTGCTGCACAAATTGCCCCCACAGAGAGCTGCATTCACCACTTTGTGACATTGTACTGAATACATTCAAGATGTAGTGGTAGAAATCTGATTCGTATTAATCCAGTGTAGAAAGAGACAGGAATTGGCTTCTCCTTGCTGTCTGCGAAAGTACGAGTGACAAACTTCAGTGGTTTTTATACCTCAGGCATCGTTTTTCTTTTCCATTCTTGAACACAATATCTCAGAAACGCCTGGAGCGGATTTCTTCCACATGTTCAATGATAAACTAATTAGAATTTGGCTATCAAAGGTCAAAGTCACTGCTGCCTCACGAAACATGTTTTTGGCCAGAACTCAATAATTTATGCCAATTTTATACAAATGTCTGAAATAGATAAAATTATAATTTGGTGACATTTCATGTTCAAACAATCAAAGGTCAGATCTACTGTGAAATCATAATGATCTGCAAAAAGGATTTCCTGGCCAATATTCAACAACCTTACTCAGAAACAGAAGTGGAGATGATTACTATATCTCTTGAGACTTGACTGGTTGGTAGAGAATAGAAGCACAAGGCAGTAAATTCAGATTTTTAAGACTTTTTCTGTCCACATTTGTATACTTTTGCAAGCAAATTCATGTTTCATTCAGAAAGTGCATTTTATAAGAAGTTGGCAGATGAGAAGAGTAAAGTTTGTGATTGAAAATGTCCTTGAATCTGATGGTTTAGTTAATCTAAGTGGCAGGAAATTACATACAGATATTTATTTGTTTTCTTCTGATAAAATCTAAGCGCTTCACCTCATCAGATAGTGAAAACATTTCCTGTTCTCTGACGTCAACTGTGGAAACAGGTGAGGCATAAGAGATGTCTGATGTGTGCACACAAAAAAACATGCACCCACATATTTATTGCACTGAAAGTCGTAGCACTTCACTCCAAATTAAATCAGGAAGTTCTTAACATAATTATACTGAAGTATTTCATAGTTGGATCTCAGAAACCGTACCCAAGCTGTCATCTTCCTGTATCCTGTAGTGTCTCTCATTTTTATTTCCAAGTACTGAAATAAATGAGACTCTTTGTCTCATTCTTGTATCTTGAGAAAAGAAATAAAAGGGCATTTGTCTGAAGTATAGTGACAGGACATTCTTTTAAATTCGACCTCAGGTGATTTAATTAAAACAAGATTATTTTTATTTAAACACATCTAAAATAAATATTGTTACTGTGCTGCCAGATTCTCTGACATAAAAATAAATAACTCAAATAATATTCAGGTAGTTTTATTCCATCATATAGGCCCTGGTTAATTACTGGGCATCTACTGTGCACTGTATGATGAAGTGGAGCCCCCAACAATTAATTTATGCCCCATCCATGCCTTCACTTGTGTATACAGTTAAATTACTCTCCTAATTTCCATTTGTAAGACCTGGTTTGACCTCAGCAGTATGTAATTATGATTGATTACTCATTAATAGCAGCACTGGATGTATCACAACACGCCAGTGACTGTTTGCAGCACTGAGTGGGAATTGAGGATCATCACAGCCTCACAAACAAACCTGACTGTGCTGAGAGCTGGAAGTGTTGGCCTGTTTCACTTCTTGGGTAATCACACAAATATTGTGACACCATTTGATTTGGAATTTGGTCGGATGTGTTATGTAATCAGCTTGTCCTCATTTCGTTTTGCGCCAGAAAATAAAAAGACTTTATCTCCTTAAGATGCCGGCTCAGACTCGCTGCTCCCTGAGATGTGATGTGTCCATTAGACGGCATGAATCCATCCTACCTTTTCCTTCTACAGCCTTTATCAAGATTTCATTTGTTTTCACATTTTTACACTGTGATGAGACAAGCCCAGCTGAGACCCTGTTGTATGGTTTGAGTTCAGAAGTCATGGGGGAAGTGTCTCTGTGCAAAGTGACATAGTATAGTGAAAAGAGTCCGTGCTCTAGGTTGCTGGATCCCAAGTCGTTGGATCGCTACCCACCGTCAGCTGCTGTTGTCGTGTGGAGTGTCCTCACTCTACACCTAACGCCACATTGTATAATAATTCATATGTGATTGTTTTCTCATTTTTAGTCACACTACTGTCATGAGAATATCAGCGTCAGGGCACAGGCACACATCAGTTAGGAACCTTCACCTCACGCAATGCTTCTAATCATCGCGAAGCGGGGGGCAAAAAACATTTGCATCCTGTGGCAGAGCTAATTGGCAACGTGGATTCCTGTAGGGTTTAACTTAATTGAACTTGGACCTTTGATATTTACTTTGCATTTGTGTATGTAAGTCTGTTGTTTTGTTACTTCTCAAGTATCATGACTGGAATGTCACAAGTGATTGGATGGATTTACATGAAATTGGGACATTCATGGTGCCCAGAGGGTGAATCCTACAGACTCCAGTGAAGAATCCACATGTTGTATAGACTCTCAGTCTTGTTAACATTCTGTGTGAATGTCTGCTCTTTTTCTGTTGGTCAAATGTGAATTATGTGTTTGTGTCAAGCAGAAAGTAATTGCACGGCATTACAAATAAAATGCGCTGCAGAATATAATTATAGGGCATATGCCAGCTTTCACTGTGGAGGAGACGTGTGCAGATTTCCAGCAATTTTCTCCTGCGTCTGAATGTTTCCACTCACTGGAGCTGTCGTTTGTTTTCTCTTTTCCAGAATGAAAAGCCTCTGGGTCATTCTGCGAGCAGGTCCAGCAATATATCCAAGGTGAGCAAAGCACACACACAACACAAATGGAAAAGTTACTATCAGTTTTTACTGTGGAGGAAGATAGATATAGAACAGATAGATATGCAGCTGATAGACCCGCCTCTCTTGCATCACATTGCCCCAATCAGAACCCTCTGTCTTTGATAGTGCCTTTACACCTCAGCTCCTCAGTTCATCACCCTTGCTGCCAGACACACTGTACAAACCTCTGTTCTCTCTCACTCCTGTCTTCCTCCATTTTTCTCCTTCCTTACCTCCCTCCTGGAGGCAAAGCTGTGGCCTGTGTCGAATCTACCGTCAGGGTTTCAGTCCTTGTTCTCCTGAGCCTCTTACAGGATAAACCCTTTACTTGTGCTAATAAATGTCAGGGTCACTTCGAGGTGATGAAGTGCTGCGACAGTAATGTTTGATCCATGAGCCAGTCGCATTTAAAATAATAGATGACACTAAGAATGTCTTTCATATGTTGAATGAAGACATCAATATCATGTTGTATGTCCCAGATTGTGGACTGAGACATTTAATATATTGTATTTAATTAAATATTTGATATATTTATTATATTTATGAAATAAGGGGTTAATCAGTAAGCTATAGTCTGCCTGTCAGCTGGTGTTTCCTGCTGCTTCCTAAAGGGAAATACCTTTTCAATGGCAGGTTTAAAATCTGAAGTAATTCTCTCTAGTCTCAGGGGTTAAAGAGAGGTCTGAAGCACTTGACTGCTTTGAACCAAGTGAGAGAGGAGTACAGTAAGTCCTCTCCAAACTTTGGAGACATTGTCAAAGATTAAAACCTCCCAGAATTAACAGTGGATTATGACAGATTTGTGATATATTTTCAGGAACGCACCATTTTCCACTTTAACCGAAAGCTGCTTGAATCTGAATGTGATCTGTGAGACTACAGGAGATGTTATGCATATATGCAACACATTTCTAAGTTCCCCTGCTCTCTGCCGCATCCCCAGCATGAGATGGAAAATTTTCATATTTCCAGCGGTGACTCAAATATTCCCTTTTTTGCAGAAAGAATATCAAATTTAGGTCAAGTTTATATATGTTCCAAAGCTGAAAAATCAAAGGAAAAAGACACTTTATGGATCATAGTAAAATGTACATCTGATAAGATATTCACTTCATGTGTGTGCAAGCTGCTGATGACTGTTTGAATGGATTATCTCCTCTGATTGTTTTCATTCATTTTCACATGAGACTGAAAAGAAGGACACCAAAACAAACCCCGCGCTGCTTCACGTGGCACAGATTCAAGCTGAATCACATCAGCTTGTGTCAGATCAGATCAAAAATGAATGTGCGCGTATCCAATTGTTGACCTATTTAAAAGATATCTCTCCACATAAATAACCGCAGCCCGAGAGCAATCTTTCATATCGTCTGCAGCTTGGCACAGCAACACAGTCTGGATCGTGTGTGTGTGTCAGAGAGTTGTTCATTCTGTCAAAGCACCTGCTCCACTTTTTCTCTGAGAACCTGGCAGGATACTTGTCGTCCCTTCTTTTTCTCTTTCTTTCCAGCTTCTGACTCTTTTTGTGTAGACAAAAGTCACACGTCACTGAGCTGATGGTTTGTTCTTTAATTTAACAGATCTGTTCTTTTCTGAGGAGGACTCAGAAAAAGACATCCACTTTCTAGGTATCCACTCCCACTGGGACACGTGTCATGAGACCCACACCAGTCATATAGTCACATTATGTAATAAGAGGTAAACAAGTTACAGCATTTAGCCAGGGGGTAGATTGTTTCATAAAGTGCTTGTCACTGTCAGGGATTAAGGATTATGGTCTTCAATAGATATCTATATGTGTATCCAAAGTAAAAAATGTCTTATCTGTTGTCTGCTTTTTTGGTTCATTTCTGAAGAAAGCCTTTTATCGAGGTGCTTAGAGAGAAATTGTGTGATTTATGAAAGAGAGGTGGAATTCAGGCCAAATAATTAGTTTTTGTTTTAGCTGAAAATTGATAGCAATTGTGTTCGGTTTGTCTGAGTGCAGAGTGTGTGCGAGGATCGCTTGTTGATTTGGTGCGAGTCAAGTTTCCACTCGTCGAGGTCAGGAAGCTTAGCTGGAGCTGTGTCTCTCTGAACGGTGCCAAGGAGCCGTGAGATGCCTCCCACACTGTCTGGGGAGGAATTAAAGTCTTACGAGTCCTCACAGAGACCAGAAGCAGTGACCTGTCGCTCGGTGGGCTTCTCTTGGTTTTCGGCCAAACATCTGGTGCTCTAAAATTCAAGATGCTGCCGTTTTGCACCGTCTGCTTCAGAGCAGAGCCCGAGTCACATCTGAGCAGGACCAGTTCCATTCATCTCTTTACTTTTGGCAGACCACTGATGTTAAAACCAGGCACAGAGCCAAACCACTATTAAACAGAAAGTGAAGTTAATTGTTAATTTCTCGGAACACACCATATTTATTTGGTTTTCTTTGTTAGATTACTCAATCTGGCAGCATTGCTCATTTTTCTTTCTGCTGAAGCTGGCTCTGGTCCTTAGAGAACCCAGACTTGAATAGTTTCATTGTAAAATGTGTTTTGTGGAACGTGCCATTACTGTTTATTTTCTGTGCAAAGTTGTAAAACGATGGAGGGAAGGTAAAAAAATAATCGAAACACTGACAGAAATGCTCCTTTATGCATCCTGATCACACAACCACTGCTGCAATGGTTGCTCATATTAGGTTGTTGCTATTTAGAGTTGCAGTAAAGGTTAGTTTTATGATCTCCTTGTTCCTGACGGCTTTTCAAGATGTTTCTTTTTATCACTGCTTTATAATAGAATAATAAAATGTATCAATCGTCAGTGTGGAGGTTTTCTGTTGATTGATTGATTTTTATTAGAATGATGATACAAAAAATTGGTGTGTAAAGACTTTTTAGTCTGACCAACATCCAAATCCAAACATATTAAGTTTAAGTCATACGTAGTCTCTCAAAATAATACAGAATATGATAGTGTTTGACTTTTTCAATTCTTGTTTGCTTCAATCTATAATCAAAGAAACTTTCCTCTTGAACCCCCTCCTTCCATATATATTATTAGACTTGAAACAACTGAAGTCTCTTTCAGCTTCTGATTGTTGGAACATCCTTTAGCTATGATGAAACGCTTGCAGCTGGATTGTAATGCTGCAGCAATCAGGAGATATACATTATCAGTATGTGATGGTGCCGTGGGGTGTTTCAAAATAGTTTAGTTTCAAAATGTGAAAATATTCCTTCAAAGTCCTTTTTGCAAATATTAGTTTTGGACAAACTTCTAACTCAAGGACTGAAGTATTGAGTTGTTAATAATCTTAAAATCAAAAGTGATGTTGATGAGGAAATATTAACTGTGCGGCATCTTGGGATCATTTTCAGTTTTCAAGGTTTACTACAACCTTGGATGTTTATTTTCCTTGCTGCTTTATTGTCAACATCTGGCTCGCTCTCGCTGTCTGTTCAGCAATGTGTCCATCTTGTTAGAGGCTTCTCACCAGGAGTCGGTGATTCATTGTTCCTGTTAGATGTTGAAGGTTATTCCTTGATCGGCCCCGGTGGCTAAAAAAAAACAAGGTATAGGAGGTAGAAGATGGATAGAGGCCGAGGTAATGACAGATGTGAGAAAATAGGTGTTAGAGGAAGACGAAGAAGGGAAAAACGCGGATAAAAGGATAATTTATGCACTGATGAAGGATGCGTGTGGTCGCTGGTAGTGCTCAAGGAGAGAGGTTAAAGAACTGTTTATAATAATGATAGATTGGGAGACATTTTCAACGAGCACAGTAAAAAGGTTATTACAGTGAGAAAATGCTGTGAGGATTTATCAGCGTATTACGTGACGGTGTTGATCCCGACAACAGCAACAACAACTGATTCTCCAGTTGAAGGTTCTGTGTACTGAGTGATGCTTCACTGAACTTTGAATACACAGGTGAACACCGGTGGTGCAGCTTCTTGGCTCTGTGGCCTGAATCCAACCACAGGTCTTTACTCGTTCAATTACCGCAGGTTCATTTTACGGTTTCAGTAAATGCTGCAACCAACTGTCCGACAGGCCAGTCAAACAGCCCATTAAAAACAGGAAGGTTAAGAACAGGTGCTCCAGTAGAATGTAGGAATTCTTCCTTAAAACAACCTGACCTATCTCATATATTTTGTTGACTTCAAAATGTTTACAACAATGTTAAAACTCAGAGAAATTCCCAATTTTACTCAAGGTATGTTACCGTCCCGTCAACATTTAGTTGCGTCATATCGGCCGAGCTTTACCCGTGTCCACTGTAACTTCCAGGAAAAACATGAGGTGAAGTGAAAGCACACAGCGAGCTAGCTAGCGCAACATGAATACAATTGAAATGCATGACCTCATCAGGGTTTTTTAATATTTCCCATGATCCCATGCTGCTACACAACATCATCAAACTGGGTCTTTTGTTATCGTTCTGATTGACAGACAGATTGACGGCTGAAATTGCATATTGTGCGTGAAATGTCGACCTTATAGTGTACGATACTGTATGAAACATTCAGCTTTATATACGTGTTAATCAAGGGTGCTGTGACAACATTGCAGCCCTCTTTAACACCTGATTATATCTCATTAACAACTCATAATATGCCTCTTAACACAGTTGACAGTTTCTAAAGTAAAAGGCGACAAGTGCCAACTAACTCGAATTATCAGCAGTTGTTGAAAGAAAACAGCTTAAAGTGTTTCAGGTTATCCATTAAACTCAGACGCTCATTTACTTCAATCAAAGGTCCTCGTCACAGGCGAAGCTGCTTTTAAAAGCAGATGTTTGATGGAAATCTGAAGAGCCACACAGGCTTTTAGGAAGCTAATCGTTCCTGTTATGACTCCATTATCATCTTGTCTTTAAGAGCCAGAGGAGGTTCTCTGCTGGTCAGCTCCCATCAGATGATTAACAGAGGAGAGACAGGAACATCATATTTACACAGCTATAATAAAATATAAGGAATAAAGATACCGTCCAGTGACATGAAAGCCGTCACCTCTTATTTTATCCAGTGTCACATTCAGGTTTATTCACATGAGGCTTTAGCTTTTGTGACATAAATTTCTTCTTTTTTTTTTAAGTCAGGCTGGTCGTTTTAGCCATAAATTATATCAAGTAGCCAAAACTTTCATATCAGCCATCAAGTTTTGTTAAGTCAAATTTATTTTTTATCATAAATAATATATATAAAGTATATGACTGAATGAAACATTCTCCCTGTTTGGCCAGAGGGCAAAACAACAGTGCAACATAAAATACAACACAAACACTGTGTGATATAGAATAAAATTAAACGCATCAGTTTTGTGTTATACCTCCTCACTGTGCTTGCACAACACGTAAGCGATATATCAATACATATAGATTTTTATTTTGCTATTAATTATATAATTATATTGCCATTATTACAGATAATGTTTTATTTGCTGTACAGCGCTCAAGCAGCAAGTTTCACCTCAGTTCTGCTCATTGCAAAATAATAATTTCTTTTTGCTGTGATGTGATCTAATCTCTCACTTCTCAGAGCGCTCTCTTCATACTACATTTACATCCCAGGCTCTTGCAGCAGCTGCCACGTTAACTGTGAACTATTAGAGTAAAAAAACGAATATATTTAAGAGGCATGTGTGAAAACTGTGCGTGAGAGAGAAGCTGTGCTGTTCATGTAGAGTCAGAAAACCAGGCTGAGGGGAACAGCAGAACATTGAATTTTTCTATTGATGCTGTCCAGTCATGAGAGATAAATCTCCCCATAGTTAGAAATTAAATCGATAGATAATTAGTTTCTCATTGGAATTGCCCTCCAGCCCTGTGTCTTTATGTTAGCAACCTAAACACTATCTGATCCCATTCTCTACGTCCCCACCCAGTCTGTAGCCGTCAGTTAGGAAAACAGCAGCAAGACGTGAATGAACACTTTCTTTTTCTGAATTACCTGGGAACATTTATCTAATCCTTTGCTCGTGGTATTTGTATCATAATGGCCTTGTACCTTCAGGAGCATCTGTTTAAAAATTCCCCTTGGAGTTTGAACGGGTCTCATGCCTCACGTCCTCCAGCTGTGTCTTTCTTAGCGCCTCATTCTTCATAACTTGTCCCCGTGTCTCACCGTCTGCCCCCCTCACTCCGCAGCCTTGTGTTTTTGGCTGCTCCACCGCACGCTGACAGATTTCGCCCGGCACTACTTGAATCAAATAAATTAACCACCAGTACTGTGTTTTTCCTTTTTGTCACCCGCTGCATCTGTCTGTGACATGTTTTTACTCTCTGTCTGTGAAGATCACATTCAGATGTTGACAGTCTGATAATTCTCATCTCAAACAACCTTTTCCCGGCAACAATATGACTTAACCCTGTTTGTTGAGTAAAACTGTGTTATTTCACCTCAGGGTTTGACTTGCATGTTTTGTTTTCTATCCTAAATGTGATTTTTTTTGTGTGTGTGTGCTTTTGTTTTGTTCCTCAGGCGGGGAGCCCGACTTCTGTCAACGCTCCATGCAGTTTCTCGAGGACTTCGGTTTCTCCCTCCAGCCAGGACATCTGCAGGTACGAACCACTGCAACATAATTTCACAGTGACACATTGATATGTACACCCGAGGACAATACATGTTATTTATCAGTGAAGAACCTTATCAGTGGTAAATGGTTTACCCTCTGGCAGCTCACTGTCACTGTGTGGAGAAGCCTCAGTTGCGTGAAATCTGGTGAAAAATGGATTTGATTGTAACATGGATCATCTGGTGTTTAGTTTTTTCAGGCAGAGCTTCTGAAATCATTCTTTTCTCTAATTCCTTTGGTTTGAAACACATGATGTATTTTTCTTTCTTTGCCTTTCCCGTTCTTCCTTCTTCTCCTTCACCATCGTCATCTGTCACATGATCCTGTCATAAAAACACACTTTCACACCGGCAGTCAGGATCAGGACTGTCAGAAGCAGACCGCCGTGGTTCTGTTGAATTCTAATGGAAAAACCTGTCTAGGCGCTGGAGGTTTTTCAGTGACTACCCTCTGTACAGACAAACATGCTAAACAACGAGACTGGCTCTCTCTGCTCCGCCCCTCCTCCGTCAACATCCGACCCACCAGCTCACTCAGGTTCTCCATGTCTCTGAACGACGTGGGCCAACGTGTGGACAGCCTCTGCCGCGGCCTGCACTTCATAGACCGCACCTGCTCGGAGGGTGAGCTGGAGCTGAAGCCTGAGTCCACTCAGCCGCCCAGCTTGAATCAAAAGACGCTCATGCTCAACGGCAAGCTGGCTGCATCCCCCCCACCCCCGCACCTGAATCCTTCGGCCCTCTCCACACGCACCCACCCCCACCTGGTCCCTTCCTTCACCAACAACTACAAATACATGACGGGAATCCCCCCAACCGATTGTTTTCCATCTGATCCTGCTATCATTGCACCTCCTCCTCCTCCTCTTTCCAACGCCCACCTCCACCCGCATCACTCCCCGAGCACTAGCTTCCTCCGTCTCCTCCTCCCCAATTTTTCTCGATCCTCTACCTCTGCCAGCCTGCAGTGCTCCGAGCTGGGCAGCTATGCCTCTCACCTCCACATCACCAAGTCCTCCAGCGCCCTGCTGGAAGACAGTGAGACAGGATTTCCCCCTGAGACAGGGTTTCCACCCGAGGATGCACCAGATGACAGCGTGTTTGAGGGGGCTTGGTCCAGTCCTGCTCCAAAGGGAACAGGAAGTCTGGCAACCCCAGATACAATCATAATGACTGGCCCAGGCGCACTCCTCGCCCCGCTGTGTTATATGGATATGGATGAGGACAGTGACTTGGACCGCTGCTCGTCCCCTTTGTCTGAGAAAACTGGGCCACTGTCACCCTATTCGCTCTCTGGGGACTGCTGCAGGTGGGTGACTGTCTGGATGGTGTGATCCACACCCACCCTTACTTGGTAGAGCCCAGACCACTCCCAAACCGTTAACATGGCAGTGAACCCCCAGAGCCCTGTGGAGTAGTGGAGAGCTTCTCATCCTGTAGTGTATACACCCAGCAAATATCTTACACCTCAGCGATATTTGTCCTGAAAACCCAGCTCTCAGTGGAACCATTAATCAGAAGAACCTGAAATATAGACGCAACACCATAAACCTCCCTCCAGCTGTCCTGATTCAACCCCTCCTGTGTGTCTAGAGCAGAAATCTGGCTTCATTTCATTTCATATTTCATTTCGCTTCACTGGTATCTCCACCCTGTTTTTCACTGTGTTTTCTTTTTAGATCAATGAGGAATGTAAGTGTCTTAACATGTGCTGCTGAGATTTATCATTGATTTTTGCCTACAAGCATTGAAACTATGCAGTAAACGCATGTACCGAGGCCATGGTAATGTCACGGTAAATATTGAGGAGCAGAGGTAACTGCAGAAATTGTTATAGCATTGAGGAACGGAGTGTGTTTCTTTCTGAGAGTGAGTGGAACGAAGGCAGACGTGGGATCATAAATAGAAAAGGCCTGATGCAGTCTGTGAGATTGGTTCAACCGAGCCATCACCAGTGTTTATCACGTGACAGTGTGTGTACAATCAGAGCCAGAGCGCGTTAGGACGGACAGATAGTGAGTAATGTTTGATTATAGACCATGTCATGGCTGCCACTGTTGTCTCCTCAGCTGTGGTGTGTGCTCGTACTCTGCTGCAGATTATGCATCTTACATACAGTACGTCAGCTGTGAGCTGATAGAGAAACATGAGCTTAGAAATGGCAAGGTGAAGGCCAGAGATCAGGAGGGAGATTATTGGCTTCAAATAGCTTGTGTAGTCTCTGACTGCACAAACACACATTGCGTCAGGTGGCTAAAAAACGTGAGCTCAGCGCCGTAGTAGTTCACCTGTGACAGTGCATGTGTGTTGGTCGCGGTTGTTTTCACAGAAGAATGACATGTTAATTATCATCCAGCTGGTTCATTGATAACACTTCAGAGTGTAATGGGAAAACGTCTGATAAGATGTGACTAGCTCCACTTCTTTATCAGAAATGTGACCTTTGAGAAAAACACAGAGGTACAAACAAAATTATGTTTGCATTCAGTGTTTCTCTTGAAAATATATTAAATGCATTTCCAATGATGATTTATTTGATTCGTTTTGAAAACCTGCATTGTTTTTTTTCTTTTCTATTGACATCTACTAGTAGTCTGCATTTATGTCCGCTGGTATGAATACTTTTATTTATAGAATAACCCTGCAGAAAATATTTCCATTTATCTTAAGACCTTACATTAAAGAAAATAGGTTTATTTTTTTTTTTTATTTATTTTTTTTTTATTCAAGTTCCATACATTTGTTTGTGTTTGTGTATGCTTCCAATTTATAGTTATTGATGCTATAGTTTGTGGTTTAGCTGTAACTGTCCCATTTCTTTAACACAAGGATGTTTTACTCTGTAATATGGATATGGGCATTGGCCCCAAAACATCCATATTGGCCTAGCTCTTGTTTCCAGGTTCACGTTTATAGATAGACATAATGCTATATAGGTTTTGGTCTCTTGCGTCTCTTTTCTTTGCCTTTTTGCCTTCTCCGGTTCTTGATTTGCTCCTTCTTTATTGCATTCTCATTCTCATGAGTGTACAGCTAGAGTATTAGCTGCAAACCAAATATTGCTCCAGAGAGCCTCTTGTATTTGAAAACCTTCACAGGAAACCTTTTCAAGCTTCAATATGCAGTGTATTGTTGGTGTTTATTTAATACAACCTACTGGAGTCTGTGTAATTCCTTAACCTTCCTCCAAAAGTGAAGTTCCTCTCAAGAAATATTCTTTTGAGCATTTTTACCCACACACAGAGGGAGACAAGTAACCTCTTCAGAGATACAGAGAGGGGTGAGGAGGAACAGGGTAGACGGCTCCCTGTCCTGCTGCTGTTGCTGCTAATTCAATTGTGTCCCTCTGTGATCAGCGTTTCTATGGCAGGCTGTCGAGCTTAAACTGCTCAGATTGGAAACAGGCTGAGAACAGGAGAGAATAAAATGCCTCAGATCTCACACTCTGCCCCATATCACCCCTCTGAAAATCTGTTTAGCAGAAATACCCAGGAAAAAAAGCAGATTGGTGCTAAAAAATTAATTTGGGAATGAATATATAAGCATCTCCGGAAGAGGGCAAAACAGGGGATAGCTGACGGGGAGGGGGTTAAAGTGACACAGTGCGAGAGAGAAGAGAGGCCACCGGAGAAAAATATGAGGAAACAGAAACAAACATGAGAACGGAGAGAAAGTGAACACGTCAGCCAGGCGAGCATGTTTCCCTCTCAGCTTGTAATTTTCCCCGACTCTTGTTTTGCTTCCCACTTTTTAATGCTGATATACTCCACTCTGCCATCTTAAAATTACTGTTAAACATGGGAGTGTTTTGGCTGCACAAGTGATGCAAATTAAATTTTAATTTCAGCCTCCCCTTCCTAACAGCGCTGACACGGATACGGTTAGTTTAGCTGTAAATTTGCATTCATCTATTTAATATGTGGGTGTTTATGTTGAATTTTTCATTTGCAGGATTTCTGTCTTTAAAGTGAATTTTGAAGTTAAATCCAGGCTGTTATAGCAATAAAAACCTCCATTTCTACTGTTCTTTTCCAGTCATATTGTTCACTGATCATTTTTAATTTCCACCCTCCCTGTGGAGGTATAGGGATTTTTCTGTGGTTATCCCGTCCTACGCTTAAAAAAACACACACACACATTAGCATTAGAATAATAAGTTAAATCTGTCCATTTCAGCAGGCGCCAGTTGTTGATATGAGCACGGAGAGAGTTCAGGTCCTGAGGCTGATTTTTAGAAAAGGACACATACTGTCCTGTATGTGGGATGAGAATCTGCAGTTCATCTTCAGATCCATACAAACAACTCAGCCATAAACAAACCAGAGGGGGAAAAAAACCCTCTTCTCAAGATGTTAATTGTGCCTCGTCTATCCTTTAATCCCCCAATTCTCATTCCACTCCCTCCACCTCCTCCTACTGTTTGAGAAACGCATTGAAAACGGGCTATTTTTATCACTGTCTCTTAATCTTCTAACGCTTCGGCCAGATCAGTGAAGTCTGGAAATAGACGTTATCACGCTCGCTTACTTTCTGACACGTGTGGGTGTGCATGTGTGTGTATTCATGTGTCCTCACATGTGTCCCCATTTGAAAAGCCTGCTCTCTTCTCCACCACAGTCACCGCTGTCTGATCTGCACTCTGGGGAAAACGGAGTCTGTGCTGGTTGGAAAGTCATAGAAAAAGTGGATTTGGAGATACAGGTTGAAATACTTCCCCCCCTCCACTGTGCTTCATTTATCTGTGGAGCGTCTGCAGGGAAATCATGTGCACTTTATTCTACATTGTAACAGATTATCAGAGACATGAGCCTGAACTTTCATCAAACTTGTGATGTAGTGAAACAAACAGCAGCTGATTTTTGGGGATTATTGCTCACTTACTCAGGAGCTGCAACAACAATGTCAAAGACCTGATACTTAATTCTTAGCCTCTGCTTCCTCCAAGTAGTTGTGTGTGCATGTGATATTTATTGTGTGGTTGCATCATGTCTCTTTCTTCTGAAACTAACTACTGAATCTGACTGTCTTTCTGGTAAAAGTGTGTCTATAGTCAGCAGCAGCTACACAGACACACTCAGTCACACTGAGCAGGCAAACGCAGACAAATATAGTCGTCCTTTGTGTGGGTGACTAATAGCTGCTGTCCTCCACTCTGTCAGACAGTGTCCAATATGTGTCATCGTTTGGAGGAGAGGGGGGTCTGCTTTAAAAATCTCTCACTGAGAAAAACTGACACATAATAAAATGTCCTGGTTTTCTGTAGCTGTGCCCACAATTCCTAACAGAACAAAATATATTACACAATGTTACACTATGCATCCATTTCATTTATCCATTATCTTATATAAGGGTGACTTCAGGACAGGTTGCCAGCGTATCACAGAGCTGACACAGAGACTAACAACCATTACATGCACTTGTTAAAGCTCATGCAGTTGCAACAAATAACAGGTTTTAGCTTTGAAAATGTAACTAAGAATATTCTTTTTATTTTCATTATCAACTATTAACATTCACAGAACCAATATTTTGCAAGCAACTCATTCATTAAGTGATCTTTCGATCAAATATATGTTTCAATGTAAACCTGACCAAGGCAACATAAACACTGTTGAATTGATTTGAAGAATATAGTAAGAATATCCATGATTAGTCAATGGTGTCATCCAATGAGAACACATTTGAATGATGGGTGGTTTTGATGAAGGGTAATCTCAGTAGCTGATGGTTTGATGCCACAACATTGCTGTTTACTACACTGTCTGTAATTTATGGCATCATACACTAACAAAGTGATCATTACTGGCAGCTTGTATCAGTTCCTCCGATAAACCAGAGACTGCTGCTGCCACGTTCTGCGAAGCATCTGAGATTAGATGTGCAGTGTTCGATTTTTAAACTGCAACGCTGTAAGAACACGGAAGATTAATTTTTGTAAATGTTGTTTAAATTTGTGAATTAAATGCTTTGGATCGAATTAATTTGTATAGATTGAGTTTATTCATGGGACGTGTATTGATTCTAACGTTAATGTGCTTTTACATTTGTGAAATTACAGTAGATTCCCATCTGCCCTGCTTTCTGTAGCTGTAGCATATCTGTGCATGTGTGTGAGCATTTCCTAAACACCTTGTCTTTTACTAGAGAAAGCTCCACGTTTGCTTAGATATCCAAAATTCAAATTTCTCCAGTTTGGGGAAATATATGTCAGCTTTTCTCTGCCAACTTGTCTCTCTCGTTTTGATCTCTCCTCTCCCTTTGTATTTCTTCTGTTAAAGCTGTCTTGCCTCTAGCTTAGCACTGACTGTGTTTTTGTTTTTTGTGGGGGTGCTCCCGTAGGATTTGTCACTGTGAAGGGGATGACGAGAGCCCCTTGATCACACCATGCCACTGCACAGGGAGCCTGCGCTTCGTCCACCAGGCCTGTCTACAGCAGTGGATCAAGAGCTCTGACACTCGTTGCTGTGAGCTCTGTAAATATGAGTTCATCATGGAGACCAAGCTCAAGCCGCTGCGCAAGGTGAGACACAGTCTGTGTGTGAACCTATTTGTCTGAAGTGCTAAGCAGTTCAACATGTGACTTAAAGGCAGGTTTGGTAATTTGTTTCCAAAAACCTTTTTTTCCTTATTTAAAGAAATCCTCTTCACATCCTGATAGCCATTAATAAATGAAGTTGTCTGGTAAGAAAGATGGCGTCTGAGGCCCCTTACTGTAATAAACACAACCAATTGTTTCTGTCTGTACTCGTGTGCACCCTGCCCGTGCTCTCACTGTGCAAGAGCCGAGTCTTCACAAGCCGGAGAGACACAAACTGTCGATACAAAGATAGAATTTAGAGAGTAAGTGATGTTTAAATGGGCGTAGCTTTGACAACAGGGTCTATGAAAGCGGGTGGGATGTATCGGTTGCATATTTTCAAAATGTACCCCCCTCTTGATTTTCCAGGTTTAAACATGAAAAATGTACTTAAGCTATTGTTACATCCCACTGCTGGTTATAATGTTGGTTACAGTTCAGCTTCAGTTCATAAATTCAGGCTGTCACTGTTTAGTTATGAAGCTGTGAGCACCAGAAGCCTTATCTGATCTATCAACACAAGCATGACTCTGTGCTTTGAAGCTGTTTTTATAAGCAGGACCTTTTCTTTTTTTTTGGGATCTGATTCATTTCAAATGGTTTAGAGACAGTTTGCTTCCATTTAAAGCTCTTATCAATCACTGTGGCCTGGAGATAGCAGGACACTCTAATTAAAATTCCTCCACCCTTCATTAGCTGCACAAAAGGCCTTAAACAAATGGTACGCTGTTATTAGCCTTTGCATCCCACAGGCAAACATCAGGGATGCTAGTGTGTGAGCATGTGGAGAATTTTAAGGTGAGATGGGGATGTCGGTCATTGTTAATCAAAGTCATTCATTTAACACCCGCTCGTTATCTTCTCTTAACTTTGCGATAGTGCCATTTCATAGTTGAATACACGAGTGATGTTTGGATGTTGGGAGAGCCAGTACAGCTTGTATATGCTGATGTTGTGTTTTCTGTGTTTTGTTGAGCTCATTTCCTGTTGTGTTGTGTTGTGTTGTGCAACCAGCAGCCGACAAGGTGCTACAATGGGTTAGCTGAGCTAGCTGGCAGACGGCAGGGTGGCTGTCCTCTGTGTGTTCGGTCCTACACTCCACTTTTCTTTTCTATCTTACTGCCAAGAAGCGCTTTGTCGCACTGGATCCCGATCACAGTGGCTGAGATCCCCATTAAATATTTAGCTCACGCTCAGAGCTGCTCCAGGAATCGGTCAAGACAACCAAGAGTGTTAAGTTTTCCATATTCATGCGTTTTGTGTTGACCTCTCGACCTCCTCAAACATCCTTCCTGTGTCCCATCTGCCTCAGTGGGAGAAGCTACAGATGACGGCGAGCGAGAGGAGGAAGATCATGTGCTCTGTCACCTTCCACGTCATCGCCATCACCTGCGTGGTGTGGTCGCTCTACGTCCTCATCGACAGAACAGCAGAGGAAATCAGACAAGGTCAGCACAGACTCACACATGCACACATACAACCACTCACGTCACAAGAATCAACATGACAACATCGTCTGGTGTTCGATGTGGCGTTCGTCCATTCATCCACAGTTTCCCGCCGTCTCCCGGATCATTCATGCATCGTGTTTAGTGACAAATCTGCATAAGTGAAGTGTTTTGAGTGGCGTGAGTGCTGAGTGTGAAATGTTCCCTTAGATTGGAATGAACGTGGGCGTGATTCACATGCAGGAGCAGCAAAGTCACAGATGAGACCAGACAAATGTTTAGAGGAGTTTTTTAAGTCTGTGAGGATTTTCAGACTTTTAGTTCAATTCAGTTCACTTTGAAAGCGAAGGTTAAGAGATGAAAGGGACGAAGGAAAGAGATTAGAACAGATTTTATTTTATTTTTTTATCTTAATCAGATCTAGTTTTAGATTGAAATCTTCACAGAGGTTTTAATTGCAAAGTGAGGTGATGTTGGTTCCCTCTTACATCTTGAAAGGGGGTTAGATCAGGTTTCTTGTGAGTGCTGTGAATTTCAATGGTTAGACTTTATGTTGAAGAAAATCTAATCAGCACAAAGTTTTCTTGTCTGTGTGTACACGTACACGTGAGTTATCAGCGCACACCGAGCCATGTGACGGCAGTAGTTTGGGGCATGGACACAGCAGCCAAAAGATAAAGATCTCAAGACACAATGACCTGAATATTTTATTTCCATGAAGCTTTTTAAAGGAATTGTTTGAGTCTTATTTTTTTTCTTCAGATATAAAGAACAAAAGAAAAAGATATATATCGCTCTCATGTCTTCATAGTAAATATGAGACAACCTTGACTTCTCCGTTCGAGTGAAGTAAAGTTGGGCTACCAGCACGTTAAAGCTACAGTCGCTAGATTTTGAATGAAACCCTAACCCGTGAAATGACTAAAACTTTGTGTGAAGTTAACATCTCATGATAGTGGTATCGATCTCCTTTAACACTAGGATGGAACCCATTCCAACAATTTTCCAGAAGTGAAAAAGTATTCTCTGTTCGTGGACACTTTTTGATGAGCATTAAGCCTGCAGGGTCACGGCGAAGACGGCTGCTCTGTCCCATTATAAGCTTCCAGATTTTTTTTTTTTTAACAAATGTTTGCATTTATATTTGCTGAGAACGGAGTGTAAAAGCCACAGGCAAAACTCCAGCAAGTAGCCAGTAGGTCATTGTGATCTTAAAACCTCAAAGTAAAAAGCCCGGGAGTTTTAAGGCCTCTTCAGCGGCTCCTAGAGGCTGTGCTGCTTCTCACAAAGGGGTCAGCAGCACTTTGCTACAGAACGACTGACACCACAGTCGTCTTTAGAGCACCGTGGTCTCACTCACAGGCTGAAATCGTACACTGCAGTTTGAACGATGAGCTGCTGTGACATCTGAAGGCTCGTCTCCCGCTGCCACTCTTTCCTCTCTGACATATTCGCTGCTTCTGAGACAGTGTGCAGATGGAAGAACAGCCTGTGCCTGTTTAGCCCAACCTGATGATTCAGACTTGTTAGCATCCCTGAGGGCTGTCGAGTTCAATCACCATGGTGATGCCAAATCGCTCCTCACCAGTACTGGTTGTCCGTCTGCCAAAATCACACACAACCACAGTTCTGTTCTTTGTTTTCCTTGCCGTTGACGACAGATTAGCTCGAATACACCTTGAAATGCATATTCTATTGTGTTCTTTGATTGAATGTGTATGATTGTATGATGCATCTGTAATATCTGACTTCACTTTAAACTTCTGGCTTTTCTATCAGTCTGTTTGTGTGTCTTTGGTAATACATGATACTTACACTCTCTTTACTCATGCAGCCGGAAGAATCCCAGGTAAACATTTCACATTTGACCTTTTGACTTTCAAATTGTGTTTTCCCTGTCAGCCGTATCAAGTTCTTTCCCAACCGCACCTCACACCCTTTTTACTTTACCCTTTTCTGCCATGATGTCAGGACAAATACTGTGTTTTATTCACACCACCTCACTGAATGTTCCAACCCAATGAACGCAGACAGACACGGGCGAGGAGCACACTGTGATTTTCTTTGGTAAAGAGAATTTCATCAAATTCAATTAAAATTTAAATCTCTCAGACATATTCGAATACATAAGAGGAAACAGGTGCATTGGTTCATTTGGCTGCTCTGCCATTAAAAAAAGAAGAGTGAGGAAATCAGGATAGAAGGTAGTGAACAGACTCATCTCATATATATTCAAATTAATGTATTCACTGGGGCTGTATGCTCAGAAATTCACTGACATATAAGACACATTCATCTCTTCTCATGTGCACAGTATAAAGAACAGTTGTGATTATATTTACCTTGTTTGAATTCGTTCCTCCCATAATATGTTTTTCTATTTAATAGCACATTAATTATCATGATTTGAGGATTTAGAAACTATCTTCTTTCATTTAGACATGATACCACTTGATATATAAAAGCCAGAGTTGCAGCAGATCAACTGTGTAATTTTTTTATTTAATTTTATGCCTCTTCGTTTTTGTTTTGGACGATGCTGCCGCTTGTTGCAAATATTTACACTTGCTAAATTTGCTACATTTATTTTACAACCCTTGCTTGGATCCTCATATTTCAGGGGTTAGCAATTTGCAAAAATGAACTGCCTCAGGGATCGTGGAAATGTTTTTGCACTGTTAAGCAAATTAACAAAAACTCATACACTGCACATTACTGCTAATCATTTTGTAATGCTTGCTGTTGTAATGTGTTTTTTTCATGCTGTTGTTCCTAATTTTCGTACACTGAGTTAGTTTGGGGGCATTTTGTGCCTTTATTCGACTGTGACATTAAAGACATGTCAGGAAATGAGAGGGGAGAGATGATCCCAGAACCTGGCACGATGCTGAACCCCTCAGCCACCAGACTGCCCCCTAATTGTTTCTACCTATGTCATTTAAACCAACCTGTTAGATAACTGCACACTCAACACCCTAAATGACAGACAGTGATTATTTTGCTCAGCACAATATAAATTTCCTATCACAACTCAAAAATAGTTGAGAATTTACATTTTTCTGTCTTCCATAGTGAATTCAAAATGCAGCTGAAATATACCTTTCATATGTATGATAATGTTTGTTACCGAAGAGTAACTGACTGAAAACCAACCTTTTAACTCACAAAATCACAATCATTATCTGGATCACTTTATAAATGTCTGTTATTTTTCATGAAGATATCTGCATAATGGTTTGAGAAATTCACAAAATGCTCTATCGCAAAGAAAACAAATTCCTGGATCTCCCACCTCAAGGGAATTCACTCTGATAGTTGATGAGTTCTTTCTTGGCTCATACCTCAATCTTCTACCAAATTTATAATAAAATCAGTTTTGCAATCTTAACTGTGCTACTGGGCCGCAGAATAACATCACACATTTTGGAACAAAATTAATCCAAAGGGGATATTAACTCTCTCACGCAAGTTTCAAATCTCAGGAATTTGATTTTAATACTCCAGAAATTTTAATGAAAACATTTGAAGGAATCGTGAAGAAAATAGTACAGTGAAAAAGGGGTTTGCTATAATATAACATGTACTGTGTAAAATTTAGCAAAAACATCAGTGTGGTCCTTGAACATTCGCCTGCTTCTTTGTAAGTCTGTAGCACATTGAAACAATGTCCTGTCTATTTGTCCTCCATACAATGTGCATTGTGTGCTAGTGTCCCCCAGGCACATACCTTCCTTGTTAAAGTAAAGTGTAGTTCAAGGTTAATCTGTTCAATGATTGACTGAAGCACTTGTTAAACTTGCAGCAGCTTATTGAGGAATTGTTGTCATTCCAGTCTTGCACCAATGTACCTCCTGAACTTAGCGAGTACAAACATAATGTTCATGTTCTAGACTGTAGACACGTCATTTTATCTGACAGTATTTTCTTTCACAGTCTGCTCACTGATTGACTTGTGCACGTTTCTCTTTGTGTTTGTCCTCAGGGATCCTGGAATGGCCCTTCTGGACCAAGCTGGTGGTCGTGGCCATCGGCTTCACGGGTGGACTGGTGTTCATGTACGTCCAGTGCAAAGTATACATACATCTATGGAGGAGACTCAAGGCCTACAACCGGGTCATATACGTGCAGAACCGGCCGGACACGTGTAAAAAGCTGGCGCTGGAGAAGCCGCCGCTCATGGAGCCGAGTCTGGAGAACAAGGAAGCGCTGGTCCCCACCCAGTCTGACACAAACTCCTCCCAGTACACAGAGACAGAGGACTACAGTATGGAGGTGCTCCATGTCTGACCACTCAGTTGACGCCATTGGTTGTCCCGCTCACACACACAAACATGCCCACGGTGACGGAGGAAGGACCAGATCCCAGACTGACCCCCTTCTGGTCATCTTATTTTTCCATAGAGACAGACAGACTGTGACTGTCCTCCTTTATCCTCACCCCTCCATCCTCCTGCACCTTTATTCCAAACTCCTTTCCCAGGACTGGACTGTTTTTACTGAGTTCTGTAAATGTCTGAAGAGGCCTGGAGCGAACCAATCTACACACACACGCACACACACGCACACACACACGCACACACAC